TGTCAGAAGAGACTGTGCTCCTGGCTTCAGCCGATGGAAGAGAACAAAGCAAATAGGTTGTGGCTTCCCAGGTGTCATGTTTCAAAAACTCCGCATCCTTAGAGCAACCAGAAAAGAAACACAGATTTGAAGAGGGGGGTTCTTATTTCTGCACAACCCCGAACAGAATCAAGCCAAAGCCAAAGCCAAACAAACTAAAAAAGATTCCCCTAGCTTGGGGTGCAAAGACAGTAGTCGGGAAGCCACAGGGTTTCCTGGCTGGAAGAGGTAGCCGACCGGGCCAGATTCCTTCTGCTCTGCCATGCTCCGAGTGTGAGACACAAGGGATAAAGAAGCTCTAGTCCAGGGGGCTGTCACTTGTCTCATAAAGGAATTCTGTAAATATTAGAAGTTTGGGTTGACCGGTAAGATCAGAACGATGGAGCCAGAAATTTTTTCTTATGCATCCTGAATTGCTCAGGGTTAAGGGCACTCGACAAACACTTAGACATAACAAAAATCAAATCACTAGGGCATGTTGGTGCATTTTATAGATTGCCTTCAAAGAGGAGGAAGAAAGCCAAGAACTTTAGAGAGCTCTTGGAGCCAGGCCTATCACAAAGTAACGAAGGCCTAGGGCCACTTCCATTCTTTTTTAGGCTCCTGGAATATTAAAATAATTAATAAATAACAAAAAATGGTGTTTCAGTTGTCTATCATGGCCTAGCCAACTACCCCCAAACTGAGTAGCTTACCACACAGCCATTCATGTGCTCACAACACTGCAGTTTGGGTAGGGCTCTGCGGGGACAGCTCGTCATCTCTATTCCATGTAGCATATGGGGGTTTAGATGGGCTATGACGTGTCTGATGGTCTGTCATTCTCCAGAGTCTCTCTCCATGTGGCCTCTCATCGCCCAGGGGTCTAACCCAAGCTTCTACCATGGGTGATGGACTACAAGAAGGTAAAGGAAGGGGCTGCCAGGCCCTTTAAGGCCTAGACTGGGAACTGGCACACTGTCGTCAGTTCCATCACATTCTATTCGTCGAAGCAGGTTACAAGGCCATCCTGGATTTAAGGGATGGAGAATAAACTCCACCTTGGATTCTAGGAGCATCAGGAGCCTACAAAGAAAGAGTTGTTCACAGGCACGTTTGGAGGTTGTCTAGCCTACCTATAAAAATTGTGGTGTACTTTAAATGTTTACACTTGGGTTCCTGGGTGGCTCAGTCGTTAAGCGTCTGCCTGCGGCTCAGGTCATGATCTCAGAGTCCTGGGATCGAGCCCCACATCGGGCTCCCTGCTCAACGAGGAGTCTGCTTCTCCCTCTGCCTCTGTGCCTATGCCCTGATCATACTCTCTCTCTCTCAGGTAAATAAATAAAATCTTTTAAAAAAATAAATGTCTACATTTAACACATTAATACTTTTAACATAAAAGTACACAATGATTATCCAATAACCTCCATTGAAGATATCAATATTCTAGATTTCAGGTGGGGCCCTAAGAGCCCTTCTTGCTTCTCCTGTCTCAGAGTCTATTGTCCCGGAGCCTTTCTCAAGAGTTTGTGAAGGAAGTTTGTTCTCTTTCTGAGTCCTGAATGACTGAGTTTTGCAGCAGGCACCCATAGTCATTCATTCACAAGGGCGCTTGTTCTTCTCAAATTCCTGTTCTTCTGATTTTAGGTATAGAGAGATCACTGGGAAAATTCCTGCTTGTCTCCCTGCCAGGGCATCAGCCTCCACATCTCACCAGTAGCAGCAATAATCTCCTCCCACACCGTCTGACCCTGAAGAGAGTGATTATCAGGGGATTATCAGTCTGTGTACCTGCCATGTAGCCACCACTCCCTATATGTAGAGTTAAGTCTCACCTGTAGAGTGAAATGATCCTAGAGCACCAAAAGAGATTTAATAATGCCAATTAGCAGCGGCGGTGACACGTCATATAGATCAGAAATAAGGAGGATGCTCCAAGGGGCTTTGGGAAGCTTGTAGGAGAATGTGGGGGCTTGAGGCATAGTCCCTATCTGTAGCTGCCATGGGGTGGAGAAAAAGACAGAACTGAACCGAAAGCCAGCCAGGCCAGGTGCTAAAAAGCTGTGTCAGGTCTTTATGATATGACAGAAATTACTGTGGGATTACAGACTGCTATTTGGGGAACATGGGTTCTTTTTTTTTAAGCTGTTTATATTGTCTGTAATTAGGTCCTTTTGTTAGTGTTTAGTGCATTTTTTAAATGCTAGTCTGGTCAGCTGTGCTAAGAGGAACCAAGAGAGAGGTTTTTGTCCAGCTTGGACGAGAGTTTTAAAGGGGAAGCAGCTTACCAACCGCCTGACAGAGTGGAAACAAAGGAGTGGTGTTGCCTGAGTGAGAGAGCCTCAAAGGGAAGGTAAATTGAGGGCAACGGAGTTGGAAACCCTTGTTCAGGATTCCTCCCCACACCGAGATGCATTTCTCAAATCTGGGCCCATAGCTCCACCAGCACAGTCTGTTACTGCCCTAATGGACCAGACAAGAGGCAAAAAGGGATCTCAATGAACAATGAGAAGGAAGACTGCCCTGTGATTGGTGGCCTAGGGCCACCTAGGGTGTTAGCTGTGGAGTTTGCACTCAAGATTGGGCTAGCAAACAGAAAATCTAGTCTGGGGTATGGGGGAGGAAGGGTTCCACTTGAGCATGAACTGCTGGGAGCCAAACACTCAGGAAGGAAGGTTACCAAATCTTTTTTCTAGTTAATGAGGGAGAGGACACACACAGGCTGCAGAGGACCCCAACCATTGCCCAGGCAGGGGACAAGCAAGGGTTAGTGGGCTAGCATGGTCCCTTAAGCAAAGTGGGGCACAGGGAGAGCTAAGGGAGATAGCTGGAATCTAAAGCAGAGATGGGGGTGGAATACAGCATTACCATGGCAGGAGTAGGGGTAGGGAAAGGCTGCTGATAGTGGGGACATGAAGACTGGGGACCACCCAGGCACTGTGGACACGAGGCTTGGAAGAGTTGAATCATTCCAGACCTCCCCCCTCCAGCCTGCTTCGGGGCTACTGCTCGGTAGAGCTGGGAGTGGGCACCACTGTCACCGTCAATGTCCCAAGTTCAGGACCACTCGGCTCCATATGTCTGGGGCCCATGACTCAAATGGCTGGGAACAGCAAAGGGCTGGCAGTGCATCTCTCTTCCTGCAGGCTCAGGCCATCTCCCTATGGTCTCTCCGGTTTCTCTCCAGCACAGAGGTCTCAGGGTAGCTAGACCTAAAGGTGGCTCAGGGCTCCAAGAGCAACAATTTCCAGATGCCCCAGGCAGAAAGAAATTGCAAGGCATTTATGATCTGACTTCAGAAGTTCCAGGATACGTGACTTCTACCATATTCTACTGGTTTAACAAATCACTAAATCCAGCCCAAATTCAAAGGTAAAAGGTATAGACCCCACTTCTCGATAGAAGGAGTATCAAAGAATCTGCCACCATTTTAAATGCATCTCACTGAGTCCTTAGTTTAAAGTCTCCCCGCTGAACTGCCTGTCTGCAAATTCTCATTGACGGCAGCTTGGAGGCAGCAATGCACAGGGTAGAAAAAGCAGGGGCTTTGGAGGACACCAGCCTGCATTCCTGTCTAGGCAAGGATCCACCATTCAGCAACTGGTTGAGCTTGTTAGGTTACCTACCTTTCAGAGCCACGGTTTCCTCTTGTCAGACAGGAAGAATACCATTATAGCGACCAAGAAAATGTACTTCTCAGATCTTCCAGTGCAGAGCATAACTGACCAGTGGATCTGTCCCAGAGACCGAGATCGGAAATCTCTCCTCTGATACTCATTGCCAGCTTGGTGCAGAGGCCATCTTGCCGTGGCTCCTCGCAGCCCATGACTAAGTACAAGAGGTCTATTCCTGGGAGGTGCTGGACTCCTGGGACAGGCCAGTGTGGCTTGAGGACCCCCCACAGCCTTGCTGAACTTTCTTGGAGCTGCACTGTAGTGTAAGAAGCGTCCTTCCATACAACGGTCCTTCCTTGCTTCTCCACATAGCTCACACCTGCATCCCAGGTCCAGCATCAGTCTCTTGCAGAATGTTCCTGTCTGACACTGCATTTGGGGGGCGGGGGGAATGGGACAAACAGCCACCAAGTCACAAGGCTGCTGTTAAATAAATGGGGGTGTGTAAGCACCTAACCAAAGGCTGGCCTATGGTTGACATTCATTCAACTAATACCGAGTCCCTGCTGTGTGCAGGCTTTAGCCTGTTTGCCTGGGACATAATGGTGAGCAAAGCAAACAGGAACAATGTCATGGCCACCTGCTTGACGCTTCTTCCTGAGTCTCACTGCTGAGGGATAAAGTCCCAACTCTTTTATGGGACACAAAGAGCCTTTCAAAGTCTGACCCCAAGGGACCTCCACATAGTCTGCACACCTGAGCCTAGAAGCAAAAGGAACTTCCTCCTTTCCTCTTTCGATCTTACTCTTTCATCCCCAATGTCTTAGCACATTTTCCCCTCCCCTTGAAATGCCTCCCTCCCTTGTACACACCCCTTACATGACAAACCCTTACCAATCCTCCAAGATCCAGTTCAATTGTGGGGTCTTAGGTCACGCGTACCGAATACGCCTGTGGGCACAGATCTCAGCATGCACCTCATAAAAGCACCTGTAACATTGTGCAGTAATTGCTGTAACAGTGTCCCTGCTAACCGGGGAGCTGGTCTAGAGCGGGGGTGGGGGCAAGGTGGTATCCACCCCGAATCCCCAGTGCCTGGCACTCGGGAGGCCCGCAGTTCACCCCTGCTGAGCGGGTGAGTGAATTGGCCGGGGAGCACCGGCGATTTTCCGGGGTGACCGGGGCCCGCGCCGAGGAGGCGGGGGCGCAGCTGGGCCGGGCCGCGGTCGAGGAGCCGCAGGGGCCGGGTGACCGCCCGTGACGCGCGCGGCTGGCGAGGGCCGAATCGCGGCGGTGGCCGCGGGGCACATGACTGCGGGCTCAGCCTCCGCCCCGCCCGCTTCCCCGCGCAGCTGCTTGCTGGCGGTCGCCTCCCGGGGCTGCGGCGAGCTGGGCCGGCGAGCGTCACCGCCCTGCGCGCTCCCTCCGTCCCTCCCGACTGCGCGGGGCGGGCGCCCGACTGCCCGAGCTAGGGAAAGCGAAAGCGAAGCGGGTCGTTCCCCTTCCCGGCGGCCAGCCAGGTGCACTGGAGCCGGGAGCCCAGCCGGGAGCCCAGCCGCGGAGCCGGGAGCTGCGGGCGCCGCAGGGTCGCGGGTGTTCAGGCCGCTGCAGCGGCGGCGGCCGCTCCCTTCTTCCTGCGTCGGCGCCGGCCCGCGGGGCCCGGCCCGGGAGCTGCGCGCAGAATGGGCAGGTGCTGCTTCTACACGGTCGGGACGCTGTCCCTGCTCCTGCTGGTGACCAGCGTCACGCTGTTGGTGGCCCGGGTGTTCCAGAAGGCCGTGGACCAGATGATCCAAAAGGTGAAGCGGGCGGGCTGTGTGTGTGTGTGTGCGTGCGGGCGGGCTGGTGTGCGCGCTCCCGTGTTGGGCGGGGGACACTTCCAGACCACCCCCACCCCGATGCTGAACCTCGTACAGGGAATCAATGCACCCTGGCAGACCCTCCGGATACAGCCCTCCTTTCTTAGTTGTCTTGTCGTGGTAGATAGGTAAGGGTTAATGATGGAGAGGAGTAAGATCAAACTGTGGATCTAGACTTTTTAGAAAGGCTTTCACTTACATTCTATCATTCGTCTCCCCGTGTACGCCCTCCCTACGCCCCAGTCTGTCTTCGGCGCAAACATATTTATTTCCCTCCCACTTCATGAAAAAACAAAACTAAACGAAAAACACCACAGCCCAGGCAGGTTTGTTGGCTGCTTGCTGTGGCCTTTGAAGTGGTGTGGGGCAGGGGATGCAGAGAGGCTGTGCGGTCTATTGTGTTCCTGTCTTCCTGGACTGGGCAGGTCTGTCGGTAGGGAGGCCAGGCCTCTGGGCTGCGTGACATTTCAGTCCATCAAAGTCTGTGCTGGTTTCCCTCAGACTAAACATGTGGTATCTCATACCAACAGTCTGGGTTGCTTTGTCTCACCATGAATTCGTGCTCTTCTTAAATAACCATAAGCTTCAGGCAAGGATGCATTTAGATTCTTGAAAGAATCTGAACCTGTCTCTTACCCTAGATGAGCGGGTTGGAGAGCTGGTCATTTCAGAAGACTTCTGAGTCATTTGACTTTCCCAGTGCTCATTCCTTCTGCTTTTCACCCACATCCACCAATCTGTGTGGAAAGGGGAACAAGAGAGAGTTACTGGGATCACTTTTTCTTTAAAAAAAAAAAAAATCACTGGAGCAGCCTTTCTTGTTAGCACCCATAGCCCCATGGTTTGCACTTGCTGTGGCCTGGACTAAAAAGCCAGTTTGATCACCGAACTCCCAGCTAGTCAAGTTGTCTCATTCCGGTGGCAAGAGATATATTCCTTTAGTAGAGGTTGCCAAAAGCCATCAATTACTTGAAATCTGGCAGTTCAAGGCAAATTAAAAAAAAAAAAGTCATGGTAAAGCATAATTTAATTTTAAAGTTCACGTTACTGTGGGAGGATGAAGCTCACTGTCTGAGCTTCTCAAAGACCACTGTTTTCCCTGAGCACCTGTGTTCAAGGAAAAAACCAAATATAATCTTCTCTATTTCTGGCCACCTGTAAATCCATGGCAAGATTGTTTAAGGATATAAACTCTTGCTTGGATGACCAGAGTTAAGCAATCCAATTATAGTCAGTATGTGAATCTTCTTGTGTGGTTTTAAAAGGCTGTTTCCGGAGAGCTCCATGAGATGAGTGGTCTCCCTGGTGCCTCAGATATTACCAGCCCTCAGATGCTCTGTGGGTCTCCATTTCATGGGCAGGTAGGGAGGTGGCTGTAAGGCAGCTTGCCTGGGCCTTGAGTTTGCACTGATATTTGATGATTGACTTTTTTATGTGGTCTTCTCTGTGAGGAATGCACTCTGATCAGACTAATAAATCATAGTACAGGGGAAGTGGATTTTCAGAATTGCCCCACCCTATTACAGAACACTGAACAGCATGGCATATGAAATTAGATGACAGGGCTAGTTTCAGCAGACAGGAATATTGTAAGTGAGCCAGAGGTCACGCATTACCATCATTACCATTCCCCTCTCCCGGGTCACCTGCAGTGTGGTAGCATGGGATAGTGGAACAGAGTAAGTAAGGACTCTGCAGTCCACAGTCTTCCACGTGAATCCTGGCTCCACCATGTACTAGCTGGGTGACCTTGGACCAGGTGCTTAACCTTCCTTGATTCTGGGCTTCCCAGAATTCTATAAATGGGAATAATAACAACTCAGGAGAATAGAGAGGTTATAAGAATTATTAGGGAAAATGGGTAATTTTCATGGGATATAGTTAGTGCTTTGTAAAGAAGTTTTGTTTTTGTTAGAAGCCACGTGAGTACAGACAAAGTACATGAGATTTGAAGTCAGACACCCTGTGTTCAAATCCCGGCCTTACCATTTGCAAGCTTTTTGATTCTGGGCAAGTTACTTAACTTCTCTGAGCCTCAGTTTTATTACTTGGGAAAGTGAGGATGTTAGCTATCTTAGGCACAGTGGTGCATTTACTGGGAAGCACACAAAACTTACGCTTCAGGTCCTCATTTGCACAAGCCCTTCCAACACACTGTACCTAATTCTGTAACCAAAATTTTCTTTTTCTTAGGAAGGGTCTCCTCACAATGTATAAGCTTCCCACGAACCCAGGACCTGTATCTGTGTGTGCCGTTGGGAGACTGAGTGAGCTAACCTGTGTAAAGCACCCAGCACAGTATCAGGCAGGGGATAGCTGATCAGTCATGGCTGCCTCCATCACGTCCAGAGGCGTCATCACAAAACAATTCCTTTATAACTTGACCTTAGTATAGTTGTAATGAAATCCACTCTGATACTCCCAGTTCTTAGGGTTTTTTTCCATTTGAAGATTATCCATGCCCTGGCTTGTCTATATCAAAAAAAGAGAAGAGAGGAAAGGGATGCCATTCAAATGAGTAGGTTTGGCTAATTGTGAGAAGCATGGTAACATAATTTCTATTAGGAAAATTTGCAGGGAAGATTTTAAGATTAAAGGGAGATTTACATTTTGCCCACTGAATGGAGTGGAAGGAACCACGACAGTTTGTTTCCATTCTTGGCCTCACTGGTTGCCACCTTGTATTGGGCAAGCCCTACAATTTGTTCTGCTTCAATTTTCTCAATTGCAAAACAGGCATAGTAATGTCTCCCTCTTTGTTTTCTAACACCCACTTCTCGGGGGATACTCTGAGCAAGTGTTCGTTTTGGGGTTTTTTGTTTTTGTTTTTTAAGATTTCATTTATTTATTTATTTGAAAGACAGAGGGGAGGGGCAGAGGAAGAGGGAGAAGCAGACACCGTGCGGAGCCCGGAGCCGGACACCAGGCTCGATCTCAGGACCCTGAGATCATGACCTGAGCCAAAATCAAGAGTTGGAGGCTCAACCAACTGAGCCAGTCAGGCGTCCCTGAAGCATTCTGACTGCCCTGAACACAGAGCTCTGCAAAAACCATTCAATCTCTGTGTCCTCCCCAGAGCCTGGAAGGGCAGAATTTTATGTTCTGTCTCACTTGGTAAGGCCACTAATTGTCCTGGCATCTAGCACAGTGCCTGGTCCAAGGTAGGTACACAGTAAATGCCTGTTGTCTCAGTTTTGGTCATTTGAGTTGGAAGAACAGTGTTCTAGGAATCAGCAGACCTCAGTGAAAATTCTTTTTTTCCTGTCACTAGCAAATCTTTGGATTAAGTTGAGGAAGCCAAGTAGCAAATATTGAACCCCTCAAAGGCTCGGGTTTCTCACTTTGAAAATGGGAGTGATAAGAATACCTGCCTTAGGGTTGTTCCAAGAATGACATGAAAGGATTGACGTAGAACATCTAGCACAACACCTTGCAGAATGCCCAAATATTAACAGTTGTTATTGTTTGTGGCTATTATTTTGTCATCTGTGAGCTGAAGCTTATGTAGTAGATAAGTTTCCTTCTCCTTCCAAACTTCTGAGCCTCTGTGATACAGGCATGTGAGCTTTGTTCAAGAGCAGCTTTGCAGCTCAGAATATTAAATTTGCCCCTGGACTCACCGACAGTTTGAACATCTCCTAGAAATGGGAATGCAGAGCCAGCCAGAGTCTGGGCTGGCTAAAAAGAAAAGGGCTGGCAAGGGAACCAGTAGAAGGAAAGAGACTGTTCACATGTTTTGCTTCCTAATCACAGGCCAAAGAAGGATGATAACATTAGGTGTCAGGGACGAGGTGAACGGGACAAATATACTTATCCTTGGCCAGGACCTGAGACTCTGGGCACGCAAGAACAGCCAGCCTCTTTTGGGAGTCATAGAACTTTGGGGCTATTCTGCTGAGGCCTCAAGAAATAAGATAGAGTCATTGATAATTTAACCAAATAACATTAATGGTGAATATGTGGGGGTCTTCTTTTTTAAAGTAGAATTAGTTAAACATCTTCATGTACGTTTATGTAAAGATGATCAACTATATGTAATCTTTTATTTTATTATGTTATGTTAATCACCATACATGACATCATTAGTTTTTGATGTAGTGTTCCACGATTCATTGTTTGCGTATAACACCCAGTGCTCCACGCAGTACGTGCCCTCCTTAATACCCGTCACCAGGCTAACCCATCCCCCCACCCCCCTCCCCTCTAGAACCCTCAGTTTGTTTCTCAGAGTCCATCGTCTCTCATGGTTCTTCTCCCCCTCCGAGTCCCCCCCTTCATTTTTCCCTTCCTGCTGCCTTCTTTTTTTTTTTAAACATATAATGTATTATTTGTTTCAGAGGTACAGGTCTGTGATTCATCAGTCTTAACACAATTCACAGCGCTCAACTATATGTAATCTTAAAAGACTCCTTCTTCCCTATCTACCTCATCCCCCCAAATTGCCTCTTTTCAGGGTTATGAAGACTTAGAACCTTAGAATAAGAGAAAACCTGAAGCATCACTGAATCTGTTATTTTATAGTCAAGGAAACTGAGCCCACATCAGTTTTAAAATAGATGGCGGTGGGTACCAAATTGCCTTTATATTAATGTGCCGCTGGAAAGGCAGATAATTGAAGGCCAGATGGAGAGGTAGGGGTAGGGTTAGGCATGCAAGCTGGGTGTCCTAAATCACTTTTCCCAACCCAAGGATGACCATAGAGCCTGTTGCCTGCAACAGTCCTGGTTTATTTACACCTGTTGTCCTGGCACAATTACTAGCACCCTCTTTTCTTTTAAAAGATCCCTGGTGTGGACAATACGTTCTATCCTCACATCCTCACATACCACACTGTTCTCCACTTCTTAGCAATAAAGAGGAGCAAGGAGCTAAAGCCCACTCAAGCTGGCTTCAGAATGATTGGATTTTTTTTTTTTTTTTGTAAAGCGGGAAAAGGAAGC